AGCAAACCAGTGTATTTTTTTTTACTACATCTAAGAGATGGGAAAGTAGAATGCCCTCCAGCTGGAATTTTCCAGAAGCCAATGGAAGAGAAGACAAATTAGTAACCCTGGGAAGACAGAACCCTGCAGCAACATGACATGTTTTGGCATTCCCTTGTTTTCTTTTATTTGGGTGCAGTTGTTACTACTTGCTGGAACATGAAATGCTTTGTCAGCTCCTTAGTTTGTTTTGGGTTTTTTTTTTTTGTTTGTTTTTTTTAACCTTTATGTGTTATTATAATGGAACCATAAGGTGAAGCTGTGTGAGAAGAGGACATAAAAAGCCACTTCTGTTGCCTTATTTTTTATTTGGGTAGGAATTAGCAGGTTTAGTCCTTTAGGTCCACAAGGCAGTTATGTAATAGCCTATAAGTATTTAATTAAAGTTCCATTAAAAAAAAGAGGCAGAACTGGCAGGCATTTCACATGCAGTCCTGCATGTGCTCTGGCACATCACACAGTTATGCAGGAGGCATGTGAATGGGGGGCAGTGCCAGAGGGAAAGTCATGTCCCATGGCTGCAGGAGGATGGGAAGGCTGTAGGATATTGGTTACCTGAGGTTTGGCCCTGAAGCAGCTAAAGGGAGCACAGAAGTGAAAAATAACAGGGATGCCATCAAAGCATGGAATGGGAAACCCACGGGGTGTTGGCTCTGGCAGCAGCTCAGAACACACGTTTGTGCTTTGGCAGGACATCTAGAGCTGCATTTCTCTATGAAAGCAGAAGAGAGACAAAAGCAAGAGAAGGGCAGGAGTGGCCCCAGCTGAAGCAAGGACATCACCTGGGCCAGGCTGCCCAGCTGGGGTGGCAGCAGCACTTGGAGCCCTCGGGGCCACGCGCTCAGCACAGCACGTTAAGCTGAAGCACCCCGTCCTGGAAAGGGAGCAAAGATATTTTTAGTCCTTCCAAGAGTCTAAAACAGAGCCAGACAGGATTAATGGACATTTATGGGAGTTAGCAAGAGTTAATAGGAGAGGCCAAACCTCTCCACCTACAATTCCCTCCACCTGTACTTACTGCATCTTTGAGGTGATGGAAAGGGAAACAATGTGGAGTGTTCTGTTTGTCTGAAACATTTTGGGATTCAGAAAATCCAAACATTTAAATAATGTGTTCAAGAAATTACAGATGCTCCTCAGTGGTTTTTTGCCTTTAAAATATTTTGTTCAGGGAGACTCCTGCAAATATATGTCTTCTTAAACCAGGGTGTTTAAAAATATACCATTTTGTAATAATTATTATTAATATAATAATTACTACAAAACAAACTGTATCTAAGGAAAAGAGACCCTCACATTTTCTAGCTTGCACTGTTACTTGTGACACTGCCTGCACATATCTTTTATTTCTCAGCAGTTCAGGTTTATTTTTCACCTTCAGAACTACAGAAAAGGGAGACTGGAGATTTTCAGCTTTACTTCTTTAGATCCCAGGGGCCTCTGAACTTGCCTAAGCAATAGTTCCAACTTCTGGTGAATACACAGATCCCTGCAACTTCCCCAGAGTGAGGAAAGGCTCCAGGCTCTGCAGTAAAGCTTCTTCCTTAGATAATTTGTGGGTGCCCACAGCCTGCGCTGCCTGTTTAGAACAGATAATGAAGAGACACTGTTTTGAAGGGGAAAGACACATTAAGAACACGAAGAGGAAGGTGAGTTTTCCTACTGCACACGTGGCAGAGGCCCTGATTTTTGTGTGAATGCCTGACACAACTTGGTCTAGACTTCAAACTTCAGGTTGGCACAAATCACCACACACATTTTCCAATCCAGACAGACTAGAACAGTTTTTTGCATCAACATTAAGAACTTTATAGCTATTCAAAATCAGCACCAATGGTTGGATTAATATTTTAATAATTACACACTTTTTACATTATGAAAATAAATCATAAATAGTGTAAAAATAATTCTGAAGATCAACTTCTCACAAGCAAGAAACAAAACCTGAAGTACAAAACTGAAAGAAAACAAAACAATATTCAACTGAAAAACAAGGAGAATTTTTAATAATAAAAACAAAAGCATGCTGTTTGATCGGGTTCAATTAAGTCCAGACCAGTGGCCACAAGAAAGTGGTAAATAATAACAAATTAAAATGGGTGAATAAAACCTTGCAATTCTTTACACTACTCATCAAAAGAGGTCTTGTGACATATTTACAGTGCTAAGACACTCAAAATATTTCTAGTATTGATAATATGATGCTGACCCATGTATTATTCCCCCCAAACACTGAAATCCTTGCCAAATTACTTTTCTTTGTATTTTTATCTCTTCTACTTCATTTATGAGACCATTTGCAATACAAAAATAACGGCACATATAGATGAACTTAAAAAAGTAAAAAATACAAATAAAAATATATAATATTTTCCAAAGGAAAAAGTCAGATACATACATCTTAGCAACATTTTTAAAGTTGTGTGATATTTTTCCAAACATGTACAATAATATAAGAATATCCACATATATGTTAACAATATGTAAAACATTCTTCCACCAACCCAACTCTCCATAATACTTCAGGGAAGTGTGCAAGTACCAATGGGATCTGGGAGATTAATACAATTTCTTTTTAAAATAGAAACAAGTAAAACACTAACGGTCCCAGGTTAAGTTAAGGCCCCCTGCTTTCAAAGAAAATTCAATTTCCAAGCAGCATTGATAATTGGATGCATTTAAAAACAAAATGAAACAAAAACAACACTCCAAATCCCTTTTAAAATACAAACTCCACTTGTTCTGTAGAGTGTCCTTTTCAGAAATGATGGTGGCAGGCACTTGTTTCTAACTGCATTTAATGAATCCAACCACCAAGTAAAATACTTTAATAAGAGAGGGTGCAAGAAAACCTTCATTTGTACATTACAGCAACATTGGCATCCATAAAAAGAAATGGCAGAAAAGAAAAAAAAAATCAGTGTTAGTTTTAATTCCAGTCACTGAAACAGAATTTTTACAATGACTACAAATTAGACTTTCTTTTGACCACTATCTTTGCAGATGTGTTTTGTGTGAGTCTTTAGTGTGAAAATTTAGGAATCTCATTAGGTAAAATACAGAGATTTAAAAATGTAATATAAGATGGTCAAGCAGCAGAGATCAGGAAATTTGAAGGGAAGGGTCAACCTCTGCATGCCTTGAACCTTTCCATCACTTCCAATAAAACAGGCTGACAATAACTCTGCAGTTCTTACTGAAGTAGCCCTGATTCAGGCAAAACCCCACTGCTGAAGGTGGTAATCTGCCCCTCATTACAAAGTGTAACACCTGGGGGCTCCCTCCCGTGTGTCTCAAAGAGCTTTGCAAGGAGAGGGCTCCTCTCTGTGCCGTGCCCTTGCTGGGGCTGGGGAGGCACAGCCAGGGATGAGCCCTGCATGGCTGAGCCGGGATTGCCATCCCAGTTCGGGGGCGGCCAGTGGGACACCTCCCTCCTCACCCCATGGGGATCCAGGATCCCAGCCACGTATCCTGGCACAGCCCCCAGCCCTGCAAGCAGCACCCTCCCACCAGAGGCCAGCTGATCTCACCTGGGGTTGCTCTGTCACCAAAGGCCAGCTGATCTCACCTGGGGTTGCTCTGTCTCTCTCGTGGGCACATGCACCCTGTCCACGGTGCAATGCTCACTGGGGCCAAAGTTAACTGTCCACACCATACACCAACCTTAAGAATTATTCCTTTTCCAACTCCATACTTTACACACGTGCAGATAAATGGATCTGATTGTTTTGAAACTCTTTCATACTACTTACACCATAGACTGAAAGAATATACAAACAGCTGGATGAAGAGTATCATTCTGCTTTGCTACACTATCAGAATATGACATCACGACCAACAATAAATAAAAATAGAAATCAAAAATACATTGTATCATCGTTCTGTGATTTAACATCTCATGCTTTACCTCAGGAAAAAATAAAGTTTTCCAAAGCATCCTGAAAGAAAGATTTCCCATAGTTAGTCCATGAATATGAAGACAAAGACCATGTATGTCAGACATATTCCATACAGTGCTTAAAAGATTTGTGGCCTCTGTAGCAGGACTTCTGCACAATGTGGCTTTAATGCACTGGAGTAACAGATAATTACAAAACTTCATATGAAACAAATACTGAAAACTCTCAAAGAAACAAGGATTATTCACACCTGAAAAGTCAGGGATATAGAAACTGTGTAGACTAATCCCACTACACGTTTCTACAACTGAAAAGACTGGTAGAGGAACTACTGTTCCTGTCACAAACTAAACAAAACAAATCATATCTTCCTGCAGGAATGCCACTAAAAGATACAACAACACACTGGCAGTTCAAACTGTAGCTTTGCCATCAAAAGGAAAAAGATATACTAGCACCAGAAATAGTTGCTTCTTGAACAAAACAAACACGTTGCAAGTCTTCACAGGGTGCTTTTCTTAATGGAATATTAAACCTAATTTTTTATTTTTTTCTTGTACTGACCATGCAACTTTTCTAGGCATTTTTAAGTTTCATTTCAATTCAATCTGAGATGCAAATATTAATGCAATCTATGTATGTAGTTTAACCATTCAAATGAAATTGTTTATCTACTGCTCACTCATGGTTATTTAAAAGGAATGAACATTCCATGATACTGAACAACACAAAGGCTAAAAAAGCAAAGTAAGATTATTTGAAAAGTATTCCTACCTGCCGAAAATTTAATAAAGAAATTAATTTGCAAGACAGAAAAGAAAGCAAATTAAGGTGCTGAAGTGTTTCTTCAGTAGGGTTTCAGTGTCAAGGGAGTTAAAGGAGAACTGAGTTTTGACTAACATTTAACAGTAGCATCTATAATTATTTTCTGAATGACAAAAGCACGGCCCAAAGCTCTGCTAGCTTTATTGGTGCATATAGAAATGGATGCTAGGAGGGCAGTTAAAAAATGTAAGTATACAAATTTAAAAAAAAAAAAAGAGAAAGGACGTGCTAATTATTTATCTTGTTGCTATTTCTTAAATTATTTGTGTTTGTGGACAGTCTCAATATGGAGTTGCTAAATCATCAAGCCAGATAATAAACATCCTACTTGATTTTGCATGTAAATACTCTGGAGGACCTTTAAAAAATATTTCATCTTACTGTATTGATTGCCAGTATTCGATATCTTAACAAACATTCAGCTTCTGGTGTCCACATGTACCATCAACGCAGCCAAATGTGCCAAGTCAGGACACGGCGTGAGCGACTCTTTCCTGGTGAGTTTGCCCCTCACCCAGCCTGCTGGTTCCTTGAGACACTGCTGCCTCAACAGCAGCCTGGAAGTGGCAGCTCAGAGGCTTACAGGGTGCTGCTCCTGTCCTCCCTCTGAAAGGCCCTCAGTGGTGCCATGGCTGTAACCCTCTGGTAACGTTTTATATTCTGTGTGTCCCTCCTGAAGGTTCCCACTGTTGAAATCATCACTGTTCTAACAGGTTGATACTTGCATCTCTGAAAATTTAGGGAAAGCAAAACATATTTCCTCATTTCTGTGAACACTTGTTTATTTCTTACTATTGGAAAGAAGGGATTGAGCAGTAAAAATGTATTCAGTGTATAGTGTGAGATTTTTGTCTTAATTAGTAAGATAATACTAAGTGGAGGCCACTAAATTGACTTTTTGCTTTAAAAATCTGGGTTTTCCTCAATGAAAAGCTGGGTTTGACTCCAATATACCAAAATGACAATAAAGATTAATCAAAGAGAAATATTCAATTATAGTGGCATTTCCATTGATCTGAGATTGTGAAGCAATACAAAAAGTGTGACCCCATCTTCACATGATTTAGAAATGATGGAGCCAGGAAAAATGTGCGTTCCAAAAAGGGCATAAGGTGCCCTCATATGAATGGAGACAAGCTGTCTTCTTCAACTTAGTTTTGGTCTACATATGAAAGACAACTTCTCAAAAAAAAATCCTCCTAAAAACGGGATGATTCTGCTATATACATTAGGAACAGAAGTGATATAAAAAGAATTTCCATCTGCCAAATATGGCACCATTTCTCATAAATTATACTCTCAAACTAACTTCAGTGCACCATATGAAGACTCAAAATTGTAAAAAATACCTCGTGGCAAAACTACAAATGTGCACAAATTACATATTTCTAGCATTAAAAAAATTAGTGGAGAAGGAAATGTTTCTCTAGAAAGCCATCTGAACAGAAAGGGAGAAAAATCAACACATCAACAATCAACAACAGTGGAGTGTGGTGACAAGCGTGCAGTGATAATCACACAGAATTGTTTCTCTCCAATGGTTTTTGAGCAATATGTCCACTAAAATAACTGTAACAACATAAAAGGAGCAAGATGAATACATCATTCTGTGAAACATAAAAATAAACTCTTTCTTTTCTAGACTTAAAGGCTTCAAAGACTCTGAAATAAAAACTGTTAATACTGAAACAAGACAAATATGTGGCTTGAAAGTATTTTCTTCGATGCCGTCATCACAAATTTTGAATAGATTATTGAAATGCATTCTTTATGGCAACAGAAACAGGAAAAGGAAACAAAACCAAGCATTGCTTCCAAATTCACGTAGAGAAGTTCAGCTAGTTATGTGTAATTCAAAGTGAATAACCTGAAAACCACACCATGATACATACATCTCAGGTCAGTTCCACTGTTATCCTCCTCTGGAGGATGATCTGATTCATCCCCACCTCAAGAGTGCTTTCTCCTGCAGCAGTCCCAAAATACAACGTGCAGAGTGCATACACTCTGTTCGTCCTCGAGTGAGGCTGAGAAGCGTCTGGTCTCAGGCGGTGTCTGCCATCAAATGATCCCTGCAGCACCTCTGTAACCTTTTCAAACAACCCACAGAGAAGTCTGGTTTCTTCTTCAATCTTCTGTCCCTGCCGATGAAGGACTCGACAGGGCCTATCGTGAATGTCTTCACGGCTGTGAGCAGTGCAAGGCAAACCGACGCTGATCAACAGGCGGGGCCCTCTCTGATCCAAGGGGCCAAGTATCCCGCAAGAATGGAAGCCATCCACCTGCAGCTGGAATGCTATTCCCCAAAAATTCAAGGCCTCTCTCTACGCTCCTCTGGTTTATCTCTTTTTAGCAATGAGCCATGGTGTGACTCCCTTGAGATGACAAAAGGAAATGACTCAGAAGCTGGAATCAAAGGCCACCGTCAGCAGCCACTCACGATTCACACGGCAGGCAGGTCTGGCACACACACTCATGCTTTTAGTGCACACGGGCAGATGCGGTGTCATGGATCAGTGACGTGCTTAAGATGGACATGGAAGCCAAGTCAGTAAACTCCAACAGCAGCTGGTACAGTACATTTCATAGCATTTTGCTCTTATTTGGTCACAATTTCTTGTAAACTAGTTCATGGCACTCATTGTCCATGCACATCCACAAGCCAAAATATAAGAATTTACAGAAATATTAATTTCTATTACTGATCATTGTTTTGAGATCTCTCCCATTAGAGAGACAATTTTTGCAGGTTTATCCTGCAGTTATTGTATCATCTAACTGCAGATGAAAAGGTGAAAAACAGATGTATCTATGGACTATTGCAAACAAGTAGAAGCAGCTACATGTAAACATATCTCTGACTTGTAAAATCAAATTTTCAGTTCTCAACTATAAATAAAAAAGTGGAGCACTATATACACAACTTCATGCTTGTAAGGTTAGATTCATCACTGCAGAAACAAAAAGAGATACAGATTAATCAAATTAGTAAGATATTTCAGACATCTATTACAAATACACAGATAAGGCAGAGTTGCAAATATGGATAGTTATTTTCTCAGCACCAACTATTCTTCAGAGATAAATGCACCCAGGATTTCACTTATGCTTCATCTTTTCTGATATATTATATGCCAGTATCCCTCCAACTACATTATTCTGAATGCTGTGTTTTTAAATCAAGCACTATCTAGGTTAAATATTTACTAAAATAATGTCACCAGTTAATTTTGCCATAAAACACAAAACCCCGGAGGATTTATTGAATAGAAAAGAAACGCAAAGAAAAGGTCAGGATATACTGTCCTTCTCAGTATTCCAGAAAGCCAATATAATAATAGATCAACAGATATATTTGACAAAAATGCCACATCCATGAGCTTTTATAATGAATAGGAAGCACTGATCATCTGCAAAAACCAAAGGATGTGTGAGTCTTCATGTGAAAAAAGAAAAGTCTTGGACTTTTCACAAAACTAATGCCAACTATTTCTACAGTACTGCCTAAATGAATTGTTCTACACAAATTACAACACATCACATTAACTAAGGTCATGGAGAGGTCTGATCTTGCATTGCTGGATATGTCTGTCTAGGAGGCTTTGAAGTATATCTTGATAATGTTCAGTATGATTGTGACAGGCATTTCTGTGTTCTGAGGACATACAGGTCCTGAAAAGAAAAAGCTCTGCCCATCCTACCTTTTGCCAACAGCCAGGCATTGGTAATCCATCAGGACCCTGTTTCAAGGGGAGCAAAAGGATGAAAAAAATAAAGAGCATAAATAAGTTTGACAGGATAGATATTTCATCAACATCTGTTAGAACAGCTGAAGCAGCTTTGACTTTCTATCTAAGAAGTAGCTCCCAGTTAACTTATTTCCTCTCTTATTCTCAAAGTGAAGGAAAAGCCAAAGGCAGGAAAGTTTACACTGCAAATACATACGTGCACTTCTCTGCCATAAAGATTTGGTTTTTTTTCTAGATCATTAGAACTTCTTCATCAGTTTCTTATTGCTACTAGACCACAGGTTACATGTTATTTTAAATATAATCTGTGTTATTCACAATAATCTGTATCTGAATGTACAAGATCAGTGAGAAAAAAAATACTATCACTTTTATCTGGAGAGGATTATGTTTTATGGGCTCCTTGTTCAAAGGTCACCCTGTGATAAGACAGCAGGACTCAAATGGAAGTAGGATCTTTTAACTTTCAATATCAGTTTTTGAATGAAGCAGCGAAATCCTAAGGCCTGGACATACCTTGAGTGCCATAGTGGAAGAAAACATCAGCAGTGGGAGCAGGGCAGCACAGCACCCCTGATTATTTCAGTGCTTAGACAACATGGCCATCTAATTTCTTCTCATGTTAGTAAGAGGCCCTCCTTTTCATGTATCATTTCTACCTTCATGTTTCTCCATGCACCCAGTAAGATCAGGGCCAGCTTTTGACCAGAGTCATACTGGTTTTCATGGATCTAATTCCAATTTACACGGCTGTCCAGGGTTTATTCAGGGAGTTATATGCTCAGAATTAGGAGCGTATACAATGTAACTACACTATGCATAAGCAGAAAGAAAATTAGGCCTTTAGATTTCTTAGAATTTAGATTATCAATACTTAATGTTAACCTACATGTAAAGATAATGGTTAATATGGATTTTTGAATATACTTTCATGTGGTCTGGTGTGAATTACTTGTTGCCTAAACAAGAGACAGTGCTGCATGCTAAACAGCTTATTCTAGCAATTATCCACAAACAGAATATTTTTGATCCATCAATGATTGTTAGTGAATCTTCACATATAAATGATAATACAGAGACAGAGAAACATTTTAAAATTCCAAAAGCATGCTTGATTATCCCCAACAAAATATGAAATATGGTTACCATTAATTGGAAGCAAACAACATGGACTATGGAATAATCTTAATGGACTATGTATTTACAATTAAAAAGCAAGTGACTTCAAATAGAAGTGCTACAGTCAAAATAAAACCTACTTAAACTTAACATTCATCTCAGAGAACCGTGCTTAACCACCAAACAATATCAGAACATGCAGATCAAATTTTACTGTGAACAATTAAAAAGAAAATCCTCCTTGTATCTTTAGGAAATGTGCATGTACTATTCATTTGGGGTTTTCTTTCTTAAATGGAAAAGAGCTCAAACTTACTTTACCACTAAATAAAAATCACTGTTGCCAGATTGGTACAAGGGAGAGGGTCAAGAAGTAGCATTTTAGTATAGGTGGGAACTTGAATTCATGCTAGCATAGGGTGGGGAGTGTTGTGTGTATTCCAGGAGGGTAAGTTCCAGGGGTAAGACCATTAAATTGAGGACATTAAATAATAAAGACAATGAGGGTTTGGGCTGCAGACCGTTATATTCTTACAAACATCAGGTAAGCTTTTTATTTCCAGATGTGTTTCAATACTCTGATGAACAGGCCAGACACCACAAACATCACTTGTGGATGGTCTGGAAGCCAAGCTCCAGCTTGGCTTACTGAAAACCTTGATTTTTAAAAACAGTATTTACATCCCTCTGTTTGTGACTCTCACTTTGGCTAAATTGTGAAAACATGCCCCTAAGATGGCAAGGATTTGGGAGGAAGACCAGGGTGCAGAGTAGCTACGGGACAGGCCAGGGTGTGGAACTGAGCCAGTGCAGACAGAAGTCATCAGACTTGATTAGAGGTGAACGTTGTGCTGGATTTCTACAACTTTGGGTTCAGGGTGAGTGAGGCAATGGGTATTGAGCGAGGAAAGTAACAAACCAATGATTCTCAGGGAAAATGTAGGAAGGGCACAAACTTATAAATTACCAGGTCATGTGGGAGCAAATTGTTGAGAGTTAGGCTTAAGGTGTCAACAAAAACATGTGTTCTCTCACTGCAGTTATGATCACTTGAAGCAGCTGGCTTGTTCATGCACATGCATGTGTTACATGAGAAATGTAACGTCAGCTCAGAAAAACATTGCTTTACATTGAGAATGGCTGACTACAAACAAAGGAACTGCATGCAGGGTTGGTAGGAAAGAGAAATACTGTACCAATTGGCAAGGGGCATCCAGCCCATCCAGGCCAGGCTGGCCTGGCTCCCCTTTTTCCCCCTTAATTCCACGGAATCCCTGTTTGTAAAGATTAACTTGCAATGTTACTGTCAAAGAAATGCCTTCAGTATTGACTTAAATGGAGTGAAGAAAAAACAACAGAGAGGCAAGAGGAACAAGCTGACTGCTTATGATTTAAACCTGTGGGGTACTGATTCTGGCACATTCCAAATTTGGTTCCTTTCCAACGTATTTTGCAGAAAAAAATGAAAAAAAAAAACCCAAAAAACTCACTATCAAACCTTACAAACTTAGACCAAAGTTCTTAAGTCTGGTGCTTTAACCCCTCCCCATTAAGAGGTTTACAAAATCTGCCCCAGAATTTGCACTTGAGATGAAGCTGTTAACAAAGGGCAACAGGTTAGACAGTAGCTGGTGCTTGTTCCTCTCCCCTCATCTCTTATTCCATCAGTTTACAGCAGGATGACTGATCTTCCAATACACAAGCGAGACGTACCAATGGGCAAGGTGCATCTAATCCAGGAGCACCCTGTTCTCCTTTCTCCCCTTTAGGCCCTTTTTTGCCTTTCTTTCCCTTTTCCCCCTGTGGATACAATGGTTTGGATAAAACAAGTTTCATTCTTTTGAAAAAAGAAAATAAAGAAAGATTGGGTTTAAAGTTTGGGTTTTTCTTTTTAAGCCAATGGAGAGCTGAAAGGACACTTACCACTGTGTTCAGGTTTGGATGGTGCATTATGTGGAAAAATAAATTATATGATCACAAGCAAGAACTGCAATCAGTTTGTATTAGTTTGTGTTGGTATTTCATATCAGTATTATGAATGTTTTGAAACCTAGAACAGGGCTTGAAATAATTGATTTCTTGAGACAGAGGCAAATCTGCAAATCCCCCCAGTCTGCAGTCCAAAATAAGAGGTCTCCAATTTTGGTCAGTGATAGCACTGAAGGGTACATGCTAACTTTGGGAGAGCAGAATCCCTCAGCAGAGTGTTTTGATAAAAGACCTGTGGCACAGATGCTTCACAGGGATGACTGACTCAATTCCATCGGCTTCCAGGGTGTCACATCAAGGGTGAACCTGGCCAGGAGCATCCTTTACTAACTGATCTTCTGCACTCTGGTAAGAGTTTGGAACAAATCCTGTTCTCTGTGGTGTCCATAGAAACCCATGGACATCACTGAGGGTGCACTGCTGTCACTCCAAATAAAACACGACCATTTCAAACCCTGTTACAGGAATCAAAACACTCAAACTGCTTGATGGAGAGGTGTTATGACACTTCCAACAATTTCACATTGTCTTGGCATCATAAAGTAAACAGAGTGATAATTAGATTGTTTATTTAAGCATTTCAACATTTAAATATTCTGTCTTCTGCAAGCAATGTTTCATCTATTTGTTTTACCAAAATTCAATCCTTTGATTTCACATTGAGTTTTCCTTTTAAATGTGAAAATTTCAATGCTTTCATTCTCAGGGCAATTAGTTGATTCCCCTCAACAAATCTACCTGCAAAGATGACCTCACCTTCAAGCAGTGTAAGAGGTTTAGAGAGTTCATTTTATAATTGATTTCACACCAGTTGATCACAATGGTAAATGAGTTTCAGGTTGCTCTCAATTTCACAAAAATCAAAAAGGGATCACTTAAAAAAATAACAAATTGGACTAGGATTGTAAAAAAATGGGATAGGAAGGATGAGTAAATCAGGATATCACAAAGAAGTGGGAAAAATAGTCATAGGAAAATTAGTACAACATCGGAGAACTGGCAAGTGAGGTTGTGGCTATTGGGAGGATTTAATTTGTGAGGAAAAGGGTAAAAAAGACAGAGGAATTGTAAGGAATGAGGGTAGAAGGAGAAGGAAGGAATGCCCCTTTGGAAAGACAGACAGATTTTGGTGAAGCATATTAAATAGACATTTAACTTGTTCCACACCACTACAGAAAGGCTTAATCCATTAACAATAGAGAAACATAATTTTATACTTAAAAAACTTTGTATAAATAATATTTTAAAAAGGAAGGAAAGCACATTCATCATTTCATATAACAGCATACTTGACACATTCAAATAAAACAAAATGTTCCATGAACAAAACATACTGCATCCATGTCACGACAGAAGCAAAGTTACTTGTCTATCTTTTCTGTGTGCCAAAAGGTCACAGGATAATATCTGGGAAAACAGCAAACCCAAAATTGCCAGTCTTTACCAAATGATAAGATTGTGATGTAAAAAAATCCTCAGAAGACAAGAACCATAAATTTGCTACATTTTCATCTTAAACCTACAAAGATGATAATGTAGCAGAGAAACCCAACAGCTTAGGGTCAAATGTTGTGCTATTTGTGCTCAGTGTAGGACCAACATATCTGCAATGAGTGTATGCAAGCACAAAGCATGGACATATTCCAAAAAGGATTCTGAAAATGAACAGTACAGTTTGGTTTCTGACTATGTTTAAATTTTGTTTTGATTTTTTGTTTTTCAACTCTTTGTTTTACAAGCCAGAAGGTAACTATTTTCAACTTCCAGTTTTGCAGGCAGATCTATGATCTTACTCAAAACAATGCAACAGTTAACCTGTGTAGAAAAAAAAAAGAATTTCCTGGTTACTTTACTACTTTTTCCACTGACTGAGTACCTTCTTTTTAATCTTTGATCTTTACTCCTTATCCTGAACTATAGAAACTCACAGGAGTTATGGGGATTCTACATGTGATGAGGATAAAAAAAATTCCTTTCTGTCCTTCCTCAGTGCCTAGAGAAATAAAAAATTGTGGCACTTCTGCAACACCATTACAGTTGGAACAATCTGCAATCCTCACAGGCACAGATTTTCATCAATGCAGAGTGCAGGGGAAAAGGACAATGCCTTTTTATCCTCTGTTCAGACACACCATACTCTATCAAATATGTAACAACAGTCACAACCGTGCATCTGAGACTGGGGGCCACTTCCCTCCCTTCCCCACAACATGATCTCTAGCTTTGGTTAAAGCTTATTTGTTTCTGAAAGAATGTTTTGTCTATTCATACAACTTGAAAAGACAACCTTTTTTTTGTGATGAGTGCTCCTGGACTATAATTTTATATGAGTAATTACAGCTAGAACACTTTAAATAATATTTTTACAGCCATGTTAAGAAGCCATAATGCAGACACTGACTTGCTTTCACAGTAGCAGAACTACTGATGGGCTAAAATACAGATCAGCAAACTTAAGAAGTAAAGATTTATTCCCTGCACGTCTATGAAAAAAGTGTCACTGGTTCTCTTTAGAATGTTCATAATGATATGCATTTTTGCAGGGCAATTTAAGTTTCTTAACTAGAAACTCACTAATCTCAATTTGTGTGATGTCAGACCAATAGCCAATACTGTAGAAAAAATATTTCTTTTAATATTAATAAATATTTAAAAACCAAGAACTCATAAGTTAGATGGTCAAATTTTTTATTTGTTATTACAAAAATTATTTATCTGTTGAAATGGGTGCTGTTACACCAATTTGGTCATAGATAATTAGTAATTTACATAAGGAAAAACTTATGTAGAACACAGAAGACTTGTTCTAATGAGAACTTGGATTAATTGCACTACTTTGCATCTTTTGAGAGTCAGCTTTCTATTTGGAAAAGAAACTATTGATGCAGTTCAAGTAATTTTGATGAAATGTTTGCTTACATTATATAAATATTCCCTAATTTCTGGGAAAAAATAGCTTAAACTGTGCAATGCAAGTGTCTTCCACAGAGGTCTCAGCCATATTTTTCCTGACTTTTCACTAGGAAAGGCCTTCCTTTGCCTCCTAGGTTTCCTTAAATACTCTGGGAATTTTTAAGGCAGGTATTCAATCTCCATTTCTGCCCTACAGACTTCCTGTCAATCCTCTTTCTGGAAGTCCACACAACAGTATGTTTTTTGAAACATGTAACAGACTTGCTAACTACTTTATCCCATGCATTCTCCTCAGGAGACAGGGTTTGCCTTTTCATGAATTTTTAGGGGGATGGAGGACCAGAGTTCTTGGGAGATGTGTCCTGCAGCCCAAGAGAACAAGTCCCCACAGGCAGCCTAAATCACAACTGAACTCCAAAAAAGGTGTAGCTGTGCCACACACCATTCCCACAGAAAATTCCCTCACTCCCTTGCAACTGGAAGTCCCATGTTTGACTTATCTAGTCAGTCCCTGGGAATCAAGCCTAATATCCAAAAGCAGCACACTGGAACATTAAAACATTCTTACATCCTGAGTGCTGAATCTCATCTGTTCCATTTTCACATTATATTTGTATAAGTGAGATTTTTACCAGCTTTCCATCTTTTCTTCCAGAAATCTTCTGGAGCTCTGGTAGCTGAAATTTCTGTCTTATCTGCTCTAGCGGTACATGGAAACACAGACTCAAAGTGTGGCTGAAAGGGAGTTCTGGAGGTTGCCTAAGATGCCCATTGGGATCAGGATGATTCCTGACCCTAGGTCAGCTCAGACCAGACCAGGTTCTGCAGGGCTCCATGGGCAGGAGTCCAGCCCCCTCTCTGGACTCCCTGTCCCAGTGCTGTGCTGTCTTCCCTGTGAACAATTACTTTGAACCTCTCAGGAGCACCTTGCGGTCCTGTGTTTCCCCATTTGCAATTGCCCAGAAGAGTTTTGCTCTATCCTTTTTCATCTCCCGTTTTGAGTAGTTTGGCCATCCCATTGTCAGACTAAGCCAGTCCCCCTCCTCCACTCTCTGCCACTGGTTGTGTTTGCCCCAGACCCCTGCCAGCTTGGTAACCTTCTTACTCTCCAATTTTTTCATGAACTGTGAGGCTCAAAAGACCATCTGCAGCATTCAAGCAATCTCACTGGAACTCATTAGAGAAGCATAATTACTTATTTTTATCTTCTGGATACAACTCTTTGAATGTATCCCAGGGTGAGAACACACTGTTAAGCTCACTCCATTTGGCACCAGCTGTAACTCCCACTCAGCACAAAGAGCATTTTGACCATCACCTCTCTGAGCTGGCTGTTATCAGTTGCACCTTTAGACTGACAGCTGCCCTCAAGGAGAAAAGCTGTTCACTGGTGGCAGACAGGCCTGTACTCTGGCAGCAAGCAAGGGCTTCGTTCATTGTGATTACTCTGCCAGGTCAAACACTGCCTTTATAACATTCATGGAGCACCTGCTTAAACAACTGCTGTTCTGCAAAATCAGTACCTTACCAGCGATCTCTGAGCTCAAAAGAAAGAGCAATATAGCAAGGGAAAAAAGGGAAGGATGAATTTCATCATACCCTTTTCAATGCATTCTTGGGAAGTGTTTTGCCTGACCAGATTAAGAAATGGAGATGAACTCTAACACTCATGGTGACTTTTTAGCCCTGCTTCTTTTGTTTAGGAGACCATAATGAGAAGTTAATCCAGCCTAACCCTGCATATGTCAGCTTGACAAGAACATTGGTCTGAGCTAGAAAAATCATCTGCTGCATGTATGGACTTTTACATGAAGTGGCTTGGTGTGAGTTCTAATTCAGCAATTTTAGCAGCTGGGCTTTGTGCTGGATAGAAATGGAAGAGATTTGCTCATGAAGTTTCTCTACACTTACATTAATTCCTGCATTGCTTTTAACTAAACAGATTTCCAAGTCACTGTATCTGGACACTGAAAATGAAGTCAGCTGTTTCTGTTAACTTCACTGTCTAGTTGGTTTACCAGAATGGTAGAATATATGATTCGATTTAAATCCAAAAGTATCACAAAGTCCTTAACTACAAATAAAACTTTGCCAAAAATAAAAATTCAGACAATTCTTGTCTTAGACACTTGGTGTGGAACAGGTAGCATGTACAGGCATGCTACACCAGGATCAACCACTAGTGTGCAAATACTGCCAGGAAACAGAGCTGAGCTCTTCAGTATAAAATCACTACCACAACAACTAATGTCTGCATTAAATATTTCAGGACTTTCAACAAGTGCAGGATGGATTGGAGAAAACAAGCCTAAAAAAAAAGGGCTGTGCTTTGGGACATGTAGGTATTTTTAGTCCTGCACATACTTTTTGAGGTTTTTCATGATTTTGCTCTAGCATGTATCTGTGACTTGCCTTTTGGCACACAGTAAAAACAAAGGTAAGTTTTAATGGGACAATTTATAGTATAAAGACAGCAGAAGTGATTAGCTGAGGAATCAAGCAACAGTTATGAACACTATGGTCACCTTTTCTCCCTTTTCTCCTATATCACCCTTTTCTCCTCGAGGACCAGGGAAACCCTATAAAAACAAAGTGGACAAAGATAGGTTGACTTTTATTAACATGCAGATTAAGTTCTCAAATACTCCTGGAAAACCTAAAAAGATGATTTCTCAATACGGTCTGTACATATATTATGTGTGGATACATGCACAGACACAAGAGCATGTGAGACAAGTAAGCCACAGAGGTTGGTAAAGACATTTTGGCAGCTACAGAAAGAAATCATACCACTCAAACTAGCAATCATCCATGCTACACCCAAACTAGCAATCATCCATGCTACACCCAAACTAGCAATCATCCATGCTACATAGCTTATGTGCATTCTTAAAAAGACTCCTCTAGGTTAGGGATTTCAGTGTAGGACTACACAAGAGGACTTTCACTAAGTCTTTTTAGCATGCAAAGGAAAGAGCCTATGTTTTGAAACAAATCCCTTACAGGCTATGAAATTATTCTCTTTAAGTAGAATAAATTTAGTTAACCAAATGCTAAGTTCTTCTAGAAATGAGTCATGTGAATATTTTCTTAGCAAGCATTTTTTCAGCCTACTGACATCGAAAGGACCAAGTTCTGGTATTGCTGAGCACCACTATCTGGGGTGTCTGTTGATAAGGGCTGTACATTGCACAATCTTTGTCCTCTTTAGCACAGAGAAAGAGCAAACACAGCACTCAGCACACCCTCTGCAGGTCCTGCATGCACGCTAAAGGGCAGCAAAGGCCTTGTACCCCACAAGGGATCCTTGGCAGACTCTTACCAACCCCTGAGGGTGCCCTGGTCACACACATTACTTACATCGAGGCCAGGCTCGCCGTCTTTGCCCTGCCAAAGAACCACAGGAACTGCATTAGCTTCCCTCAGACAAGGACAGTGCTGCCCATGCTTAACATTTCCAGGAACTGATAACCTGGCTGCAAAATTTTGCTTGACTTTAAAATCTGCAGGCAGATTCCAGGAGCAAGCTAAAAATACAAAACCAGCTAAAAACCTATAAAATTTTATTTTTAGTTGGCAGGAATGGGAAACAGAAATAGGATTTAAAAAAAAAAAATTAACTCACAAAGGTGACCCTCACATAAAAATGTGTGGCAAGCTAATTTAACACTCCATGGAGCCTGAAAACTGTCTCCAGCCATGACTCCTGATCCAATTAAATGGATCCAATTAAACCACAGGTCTGTATTCCAGTTTAAATTAATTAATCAAATGGATTAGACTGGAGAGGGTATGGAAACACTAAAAGTCTCCTGGAAAGGCTGGTTGTGCCTGGCCAAGCACTTTTACTTTCCTTGCGTCAAAGTACAGAACAGACTTGTGTATATGTACACACCTGACCCAGTCATTAGCAGTGTAAACAGGGAAAGTCATCTGATTTTATTGGGGATATCGTTGTCAGGCCAATATGAGGCCGTTGTCTCCCTCATATTTTAGAAATGGATAACATAATTAAAATTATTGATTTAAAACAAATAATTTCACCTATGAGTGAGCAACAATGAAATTGTCACGTAACTTCTGAGTAGATGGCACAGAAATGAAAACAAAACGGGTCTCTGAAGCAACAAACAAAACAAAAACATAATGGTGAAGAAACCTTGCAGAATGGAAATCCAAGCAGCAAACTGACACGAAGAAATTCTCAGCTTTCCACAGTTCCTCCTGAACTCCTGGCACTCTCACATGGTCCCCAGGCAGCTGATGGCCAAAGGCTGCTGAACCAGGAGCACCTGCATTCTGCATCTCCTCTCTCTTGCTGGTTCATGTCAGGTCTGGTTTTTTACGTGCATGGGTAGAAACCCAAGAGTGTGATACAGAACACTGACCTTGCACTGTCAGGGTTTATTATCAATCTCTGCCTTTTCCAACTAATTCTACTGCTAGGTGAAAATCAGCCATAAAGCACACAAAGTTTAATCAGGGAGGGATGAAAAGTGCAGTGTGTACAAACTCTGTGCAACTTACAGGCAAGCCATATGGTCCTCTGGGTCCAGGGTCACCTACAGTTCCCTTCTCACCCTAAGAAAAGATTACAGAACAAGCAAACAAAAACATTGGCTATCTTAGAAATTATTTCTACTAAGTGCTTTAGGTTAAAGTTTATGCATTCCTAAGTATTTTGAGTGAAAAATATCCAAGCTCATTTATTATCATTAAATGTTTAAGGGAGAAAGAGAAGGTGTGAATTATCACTCTTTCTAGGAAGAATGACTTTTTAGGCATATGATATCACATTCATTTCTAAATACGTTAGTAACTGAAAATATGTTTCAATTGAACACACACCAGTGTCAAGTTTAAGCTTCTGACAGCTTAATGTTGCTCTTAGTAAAAATCCAAAGTTGTAATGAAAACTGAAGATATACAGCATCAAGCTGTATATACACACAGCAGCTGAGATGCAACACAGTGACAGGCAAAAATAATGTGTCAGTCAAAGCTTGATTTAAGTAGGCAATGCTATTAACAGTGACATTGTGAAGATTATCCTATGCACTGTGCTGTTGCTAAATCCTCTACTGGATTCTAGATAAGTGATGTAAATACCCTGGTTTATTAAAATCAAAACAACTGTAATAATTTGCAAGACAAACAAGTACTGAGATTTCTCCAGAAGTCTGATCTCATTCTGCACTAAAATCCATGGAAAAATTACCAGTTTCCAGAGGAGTGCTGCCAAAGTCATTTTGCAAGCTTAATACAGGGTAAACTTTTCCAAACGGAATGGAATTTCAAGGCGGCGAATTTCAGGCTGACAGTAATAATCACCTTTGCTCTCTAATTTTTCTTTATCAAGATTGATATGAAGTTAAGCTTCCCAAACCAGCCAGGACTAGCCTGTATAACTGCAAGCACAGGTCCCTGTGAGCTTGGTAGGCAGTCAGGGCTGGGAAGAAGGTGTGGAAAGCAGTCTTGTTTCAGGCTGTTCTTTCTTCTGAATGAAATCCACCAGAAAAGCATTTCTCTCTGGAGAGAACTAAACGGCTCGAAATGTTGACGTTGAAATGAAAGAAGAAAATCCTGACCACCTCTAGTTTTCAAAGCTCCTACTCTGGATTTGTCATGCAGGGTGACTTGGATCCCTTTGTCACCCCCTTTGGTGAGCACATCCTAACACAGGGCTGCCTGCAAGGCTCATGGTGTGCACAGGGGCTGTGTTTCATCCTGGCATTTGCTGCACTTATGCTCGTGAGAGAATTCTCTGTACAGCATCCTCTGGGTTATTTACTCCTTACCATTATTTCATTAATGACTCTATCATTAAAAACACAAGACAGAGACGTAGATGTGTACCTAATTAATAGTGGTGATTACTGGCATAGCCAAGCACTTGGCACAGCTCTGAAAACGGGCTGCTATGTCTAAATTTCATTGACTGAATTATACAAAAAGGCAGGCACCAGCACCAACGGGACCTTAACCCGTGGCTCAATAATCCCAGCAATAAGGAGTTTGTCAGAGTAACTGACATTTGATCTGTTTTAAATACTTTATATTTTTACTTAGGTGGGCACTTGCTTTAGTCTAGAGCTAAGGAGATGTGCAGTGTCAGGCATTTCTGGATTCTGCTGCTCCCCTGCTAATTTCTGAGCAGCTTTTGGGCTGGATGCCCTGGCAGGACAATAGGAGCTATTGGGAACTAACAGCTGATTTTCAAAACAATTAATGCCTTGCAGCTTTAAAGCTTTCTGCTAAGAAGAATCTAATGTGCTGACCTATGTAGGTAAGAGTACAGAAATCTTTGATCACGACTTGAAATATGTCAAGACCAGTTAAGCATCTTTTTTTTTTTTTTAATCTTCAGCAGCAAGATGACTGTACAAAGTCTTCTCAAGATAGGTTTATAACATTGCTAAACATATGGCAGACATAAAAATACTGAATGTATCAGTCTAGGAAATAATCACATCTGTTATGTAAGAATGTATTTGGAGAACCGTGTCTCAGAATTTTTTGTGTCCAATACAAAGCACATGCTGAAACATGTTTGGAATATCAGATGAGGTCCTGAATGTTCATGGATTATATGAGATTAATGGACTGTCATGAGCATACTGGCCTCAACCATCACAATTTCCTTCAGGGCAGCAGATATTAGCAAACTTCAAGATTTTGTTTTGAATTTATTTGTGAGACAATCCATCAGTGTCCAAAGAATAGGAACCATAATGTATGTTTTTGCATCCTATTTCACTTCAGTCTCCTGAATCATGGACAAATACGAGTTACAATTTGAATGAATAAAGCTGAATAATCTGTGTCTCTATTAGGATAGACAGGGAGATTTCATAACATTGTTATGGTGAGAAATATTTTAACCAAATTAAAGAGAATGCACTTTAGCTACTAGTACTAACTGTGTGTAATGATGACAGCGCTGCACAGGCTACACATCTGAAAGCTAAAATCAAGCTCAAAACCAGGCCTTTGTCACCAATGAAAAGAAAAAAAAGAAAATGTTTATTTCCAGCTCTCAGATTCCTTTAGCTGGTCAAGAAGCTGGATATACATTATCCCTGTCATCACCCTTCAGGCTTACACGTCCCCTTTCATCAGTAGTAGCTGAAGATATCTGTTTTCCAGTGTTCTCTACTTTCACTCAAGACACTATGCAAGTGAAAATAATAGGTACACAGTCAGATTCAGAGGCCTATAATGACCTACTCCTCCATTTAAGAAAGATGGTCTCAGTAAAATCTCTCTAATCACTTGGCAAAATGCAATTCCAATAGCTGAAAATTAGTAAGAATTAATAGACACTGTCTTCATAAATTGTATTAATTCACATTAATATTAATGTGAATTAATTACTCTTCCAGTTTCTACTAAAAAACACATAAAACCACATTATAGTGTCATGTTTTTCTTATTCTACCTTGTCATTATCTAAACAGACTTTGTATAAAGATGATCTGACATTTTCTATTTTAATAGTTAATTGAAAATCAGCAACCCACCCTAATTTGCACAACAGTTTGCTCTACCTCAGAGCAGTAATTGAGCATCACCTTGAATGCAGCCTGTGCAACATGAATTCATGATTATTCTGTCAAACAGCCCTAATGCCCTCCTAGATTTATACTGGCCCAAGATTTTTCTTATCAATACAGAAAAAATAGGGCCCTATCCAGTGACAGTGAACACTGGCCCTATGCACTGTTATTAATTAAAAAGTCTGAAATCTGCAGACAAAAATGTTTCCCTCCTGCTTTCACATAAACAAGTTCAACAGGTGCAAATGCAAGTTGTAAAACAGCATTAAAAATACATGATTTGTTATTTAAATAATGAGACATATATCAACACTGTGCACCTGTTACATAACTGTGCTACAAACAACTCCTCCCAAATGGTATTGAATAATTAAATGAACAATTACAGCAACAATCTTGCTGGTTGCCTGCAAGGAAAAACCCTTCCATCTGTCTTGTGAACTTCCTCCCATTCATTTAGCTCCACAGAAAATGGTGGGTGTGTAGGAATTTTCTGCACACCTTAGTCTCTCTATTTTTGTGAAGTTCTCCCTCTGTGCTCATGCAATTCCTATCCCCTTTTCAGCTACTGCTTTTCAACAGCTACAGTGGGGCTTATTCCAGATCTAGCCATATGACTTCACGTGACCTTGAACACCCTCCCAAGAAAAAAACATTAGTAGCTGTCTTCCACAGACAGAAAGAATAGTTTGTAATATTATATTTCATTGTCAAAGACATTTCAACTGGTAGTACACATGCACGTCCTTCAATATAAAAGGTCATAATGCAAGAATAAAATGTATTGTATTTTATATACTTCTACATGTGTATCTCATCTGAATTTTTTACTTAAGATTAGAGGATGTTCAACTATTTTCCACAGAGTTGACAGAAGACAAATATTGTCCTGATTGAAGGAAAAAAAATTGAATCAGTAATTCCCTAGAAAAACAAAAAATACTGAAGTCCTTCAGGCACTTAAGTAGCCTTAAGAGGTAACTGCAGCCCACTGTACAGTTTAATTTGGACTGTGCTGCATGTCTTGTATTCATCCCTCAGTACCACAGCTCTGTAAAAATGAATCTTACTTTTCTCAGATGAAGCTAACTGGACCTCTGCCTGTGTAAAAAGGCTGCGTCCTTTTTACAGCTAGTCTTAAGTTGTTATAGCACAGTTGTTTTGTTAAAGCTGTTTGTTTTGTTGTTTTGTTTGAGGAAGTCAAAGAGACAAAGTTCTGGACTGGTAACTCCTCCCGGAGGTTTTAGGATATCATCTTCTGGTTTGTTGTAACAACTGATGGTTGCATTGTTAAAGGTGACAGGATTATAGTTAAATATTAGAGTTCCTATCATATTTCCACGTGAGAAAATTTACTGTGAATATTTCAAAATTAAATAGCAGGGCTCCTATCTCCTAAGCTTAAAAAAAAAAAAAAGAAAAGCTTAAATATTTCAGCGGCTGGAGATATTTTTCCCGGATAAAAACATTTAAGTGACTAGAGGAGAGAAATACTCCTTTTTTTTTTTGCCATTGCATTCTTATATAATCAGATCACACTATCTTCTTTTGTACCAGCTTGTTCTCAATTTGCACAACATAATGAAACCAATGAAAATCATGTTCTGTTTGTGGCACTGTGAACTAGAAAGTCCAGTCAATTTCTCACTGATTAGTCATTTCAAAATACAAACTCCCCTGAAGTTAATGAGTTACAATGTCAATCTCAAACAGATAAATGTGTGTGTGAGTAGAGCACATATCCAGTTCTGGGCTGCTCCTCTACAGGTGAGACACTGTTCTGTTCTGTAACATCTAGGCACAGTGGGTGTCCCCATATGACATTTTTCCACTGTGGCAGCCACTTTGCAGGGAGGAGCACATGGAACACATACTTACTCTCTCTCCTTTGGGACCTGCAGGGCCATGGGGACCAACTGGGCCATCTATGCCCTGCAAAAAGGAACAAAGAGGGTAAGAGCGAGGGCTTCTTCTTACAACTCTTTAGTTTCAGTAGCTGTCTTGTACACAGGAACTAACATGGAAGCAGTCTTCACTGGTTGAAAATTTGGATTTAACTGTGATGCAATCTACTTGGCTTTCAAAACTCCACCTACAACCTCTCCTGTTCCAAGGCAGAGTGTTCTATTGGCGTTCACTACATCCACGGAAGCAATCAGATTTGCAAAGATCTTAAATTGATTAGAAGAAGATTGAAGGGTCAAAAAAATATTTTAAATTATTGTTTTACTTTTAAAATTGACTGTTCTTTAAACTGAAATGTCGACCTGTAAGACGGACTTAGCTATTGCAAGGATCAATGAGAATCTTACTTCCAAGATATAACTCTTTCATTGCATAGATTCAAGAAAGCAAAAGATTTAACATCTCTGATGTGTAACATAGCAATGTGTGCAGATGAACCTCAGCACATCTGCATCTCCTTCACTGATTCCATATTAGCATTGTTCTCTTGTAAGCTAAATCCCTAACCTTACTCAGGGAAACTAGCAACCCAACCAAGGCAGTTGTCCAACCAAAAATCAAAACTAAGCTGCCTTTTAAAGGTTCAGAGCTCCTTCTACAGAGAATTACATTCTCTTTCCCATACACGTTGCCCTAAGAACGTGCTTGAAGCCCCCTCCAATGCAGCATGGAAAATGCCTGCAGCATTTGGCCTTCCTTCCTGAGTGCAGCGACGAGCTTGGCTGGCAGAGCCTGGGAAGCACAAAGGGGACACAAAGACAAGGGACTCACCCGGGCTCCTGGCTTCCCGTCTAAGCCAGATGCTCCCTGTGTGGTGAGGTGGAAGCATGGATGATGGGCACGACACGAATGACAAGAAGGTGAGATTAGTAAGTGGTGCTGATGAATAAACACAATTCAAACGTACAGTACACGCTGTGACAGGGTTCTGGAGTGGGTACCACATTACTACAGCATGTTAGTTAAAAATTCACATGAAACACCAAAAGCCTGATTCTGTTCTCACTTCAGTGTAACATCACCGACCCACCCCTGCCCTCACATGAAGTACATTACAGCAGAATATTGTCAGGCTGTAGGAGCGCTACAAACACCAGATGTTAGGGTGTTTTTGAGCCTGAACACACAAATATTTACTTTGTCATTTACCCGCATGCTATCTGATTTGTAAATAGCGACAATACTGAATAGTACACACAAAGGAAGAAAAATGTGTGTTAACTGCGATAGGAAATATTAAGTGCAAGAATACTGCATTATGCAGCCAACAAAATGTGGGTCCCGACCACAATGGGCTTATTGATTTCCAAGAGCCCGGGAGACAATGACATTTCCTGTTTTCCCGCTACGCTCCCAGGCACGGGCAGCGGCGGGCGATGAGCCTGAGCATCCCTGGGGCCGGGGGGACCCCTCGTGGGCTCCGTGCGAATAACAGGGAATAACACGGGGCACACCGGGAACCGTCCGGGAACACCGCCCGCCCAACACAGCTAACCAAACCGACCCCCAGGCAAACGCAAAATCTCCAGCCGACTCAGTAACACGAGCCGGCTTGTGGAACGTCAAGCGCTCGGACTTTGCTCCTGAAAATGACATTTAGAAGTAGCAAGCAGGAGCAAGACAAGATCTGTGTAAACTTGAAAAACATAGCATTTTTTGTTCTGGAGTCTCTTCTACCTTACAGTCATTTCCAGAACATATGCTCAGGCCTCCAAAGCTCACACTCTACAGAGATGTAACTGTCAATGTGAAAATGAGTTTTATTTTTCTCAAAATAAATTAAAATTCTCAGTGACGCTGACCTTGTCCACAGGCACTGCACATAATTCTTGAAAATGTTAATCAGAGAGGTTTGTGCTCCTTTAGGTCAGCTAAGTCTTTTTTCTCCATTTTACTGTTAACAATGTCATCACTGGGAGCAATCCTCATACAATAACAAGAGCAAAGAGGAAAAATTAACTTTTTATGAGAAAAAAATAAAGCTGCCTTCTCAGAAGGCTTTCAAACACATAAAGTATTTTCTATTTTATCAACCTAAATTTTAAGAACTCTGATGTTTCCATATTTTTAAGGTTTTTCACTTGTAAGACAAAATTCATGCCAAACACTCAGAATGGCAATTTTCTGAAGAACAAGGCAAAAATAAGAATCCAGGGGAAAAAAAAAATCCCTAAAAAAATGCAACTCCATTCCCTAAATCAGTTTTTAGCTTTCCTCAATCAGACTCTCAATTTGAACTGCAGAAGGGCAATAAGAGGAAGAATAACGGAGGAGATGGGGAAAGGGAAGACTCCTTTTTTAATGGAAACACCATACAACATACTTGAATAACAACAGCATGACTAATGCAATGGGGGTGATGACATCCTTGTGACACTGAACACTCTCAACTGACACACAACAACAGCAACAACAAAAAAAAACCTGACAGCACTGGGTTTTACAGGACATTACTTGGGATGATAGCACAGATTTGGGACAAAACAAAACAAGACTGATGCTCTGCTCCAACATGGTATATTCTGTGTATGCTATTGAGTAAATCAGAGTTGTTCATGAGGAGTAGAAAGAGATGTTTGTGATTTGCACTGAAATTGAATAGTTGGGTTTTTTTACTTACTGGAAGACCAAGGGGCCCTCTGTCACCCTTTTGACCTGGTTCACCCTTCAATCCTTTAAGACCATTTAACCCTGGTTCACCCTAAACGTAAAAGTATAAATGCCAGATTTTTGGTACTATAATGGGTGTTTAAGCTGGGATAGAAGAAGCCAGTCTCAGAAGTAGCTGCAAATTCCAGTTTGAAACAAATTCAACTTTCTCAGCTTACTGACAATTTACATACTGATTTAATAGTGGGCAAAAGTACTTGGGAGGTGTCTGCTTGAGATTTAAATTCTGTGTAAAAAAAACTACAGGAAACTTATGGGTAACAGATTTTTTAAAATATTTTCCTAATAATTATCACTATAGTTAGATGGTTTGAATTAAGCATGAGTTTCAGGGGGTTTTGGAAATTCTTCAAATCCCATAAACCACCCTATGCAGATAATTCAAACTGAAAGAAAATGTTCATAAAAGTAAGCCTCAAAACTGTAAGTTTCTACAGTGGGATCTCCTGAAAAGTACATTTGGAAGGAAGCAATACTTTTCCTTACAGTAAACTGGAATTTGCAGCAAAATCTTACATAAGGATATTTTAAACCTTTAAGCATACATAACAAACAGTAACAAGTTAAAAGAAACAGTACAGGTTGCACAATGCCAAGCCATTTGGGAGGTCCACGGTTTCTGTGTTCATACAGAGAAATTTTAACAATGTAAGAAATGGCACTTGTTGTGGTTATTAAATTATGCACAGGCTATTACACTAAACATCACTAAAATGACAATACTGGGCTGAGAGTTGCCAATAAATCATTCAATCATTGTCTCATAATGAAAAACTGCATCAGCATGAGGGCTGCTCAGTCAAAGAAAGTATTGACCACACCTGCCTCTTTTGGGAAACAGAAATACATGGGTATTTCATCCAGACTGCTCCCCATGGCCTCATTGCTACATTTCCCTTTGATGTATTATGTTACCTTATATTATATTCATATTAAAAAAAAAAATCTCAGTAGAATGCAGTCTGCTCCTTTAAGTAACTCCAGACTTCATCTGCCTGCTTTGCACCCCAAGTAGCCATTTCTTCATTCTCATTCTATTTGACTCGATGTGACTTTCAGAGCAGTAGCACTGGAAAGGCTGAAGTTTTGGAAACAGACCTGAGAAATCCCTCAAAAGCCTGAGTCTCAGGCCAAAAGCCTGAGGTAAAGCAGGGCTGGTGCTAAAATGGAACATACTTGATTTCAAAAAATGATTTATGACTTAGGTTTCTTGAGCCAAGGTAATACAGTCTCATAAGGGGTCAAACCTGTGATTTTCTGTCTTGCAGCTTTAAAAACCTCAAAATAAATCCCCAAAACTAAACAAAAACACCCTTTCCTCGTCTTCCTTACTTTTTGAGAAAGGTGTGATTAGAGACCCATAATGATTTAAACGATCATGCCTGACAAGACCACTGGCCTTAATGAATAAAGTGTCATGCTGAATTTCAGCTTACTGGTGACTACTGAATTAAGGCACAAATTAAAATACTCCAACTCTGCCAAAATTCACTTCCGCTCTCCTGAGCTGTCCCGATGGGCTAAGAGAGTCCCTAAAGAATACCTATGCTATGGAAAATGTTCAAATTTTACTGCAGATCTATCTGACCATGAATCCAGTTTGGAAAACACAAAAATGCATACATCTGTTTGTGATGGTGAACCATCATGACATGTGAGGGAACTGGTCAGCAAAATCCCTGTTACCTAACAAAGGCCATGGAGACTGGAAGAAGCAGGAGATACGAGCATAAACGAAGATGAGTTTATCTGACTTAATTTCCCAAGCCTGCAACATGCTTCTGTATTCCAAAGTAATTCCAAGGGCAATGGTAGCTTGCCCATAAACAGGAAGCCAAATAATTTAGTGCCACATTCCTCATATTCATACAAAAAATTGTAGTGGACTCAGCTGATGCTGAGGAGAAATACTACTCAGAAACAATCATAGACAATTTAAAAAGCTTTTAAGCTGCTAATATGAAAATCTGCTTTAAGGTTTAAGAATATCAGAAATGTTTATTAAATGAGGTATGACAAAACACAGCTCCATGCATTCAAGAGCAAAACATGACATTTTGCAGGCATAAAGAGCTTGTCTATTCACTACAGCTATTAACTTACCTTCGGGCCAGGCAGTCCATGAGGTCCCTGAAAATAAAAGTAACATTTTTCACTATGAAAATACACCACAATTTTTTTGACTTTTTGCTTTGTAGGGATACAAATTACCCCTATATTTCTTTAGTCTCAAAAGAAAAGCAGCTGTCAATAAAGCAACAGTAAACACCTGATTCTGAGGATGAACCAGATCACTAGCATGTTAACAATAACACAAGTGTGCAATTTGTTTCTCCACCTCCAAAGAATTTCAGGACATGCAACAAAGATTTACAAATTAGATCCTCTCTTCAATGGCCACATATTCTGATAACACTTTTAGTAAGCAGGCAATGAAGTGGCAAGAGGGCATAGACCATTTCTAGCCACTCTGTTCCTCCCAAGCTTACCATGGGGCCTGGAGGACCATGTGGCCCTGGTGGTCCAGGTGGTCCTATCATCTACAGACAAAAAACAATGGTATTAAATCATGCAGAGCAAAGAACTCCCACAGAAATACCAGAAGTCAGGCTGACCCTTGCTGGCAAGCACTTACAAAAATAGCTATGCAACAGTGAACACTGACAGCACATCTAGACAGGGCTTTAGCAATGGGAATTATTTTGATTTGAAAGACAGGGTACCCAAAGTGCAGATCTGCCTGTGCCATATGGCAGCGTGCCTGCCTCCAGATTCTTATTCCTAGGGTCTATGATACACTTTAAGACACTATGGGGGAAAAATAATAAATCCCCGTAAAACAAACAATACTGAGATGGGATACTTGAACTTTTAATATTTTATGGTATGTGCTCTGTAGTTCTCCCCTGTACTATTTATTCTACAGAGCTAGAAGGTGATGATGTGTTACTTTATTCCCCCTCAACACTGACAACTGGAAAAGATACTAAATTCAAGCTGGGCTTTGGAGTAATTTCAAGATTGCCCTTTGTCTCTCCTTTTATTTCTTTTAGCCCACTTGTACCAAAAATTCTCTGAGGTCATTAAAATAGGTAATCAGGTTGCTCAGCATTTAGTGCATGCATATTCTGCACTGGTTTTCCATGTTCCTAACAAATCCATGGAAAGAATTTCATGATGATATATCCAGCTTAGTATCCCCTCTCCTCCTGAACCTACTCCCAATGGGTTGCTGCCATAACCTGCAGAGGGACAGCAGGATGCTAATTCAGGTCTCCAGACTCATGCACTGCTGTAGCAGCTGTCAGTGGCAGCAAGAGCAGCAACAAGGAGCACTTTGAAATGTAACACAGACTCCACCACCTGTGAAATCTCCTGAAAACTGTAAGTCTTCCTTCAAGTGAAAGCAAGCAGAACAGGATGAATGAATTAGTGAATTAATTTCTAACAAACTAATCTTCTCCTCATAGTAAGAAACTCAGAGATGTGGGGTGCCTCCTGTGTCCTGTAATGGCACAGGGCAGCCTCTTTGACTTTTCAGATCTATGGCTTCTGAGACCATAACCTCTGCTCTGAGGTCTCTCTTCTTACTGTGCTCTGATAATCAAAGTCACCCACACCATAAAGGCACTATGTAGCAGTTTGTTTGGGCTTTTGCATTTGTTTGTTTGTTTTTAATGCCTTTACAATGCTTTGAAAAAAAAAATCAGGAGAATGTCTGGTCTCATACAACTAGCTCACTACCCTGGGTCACACACTTGCAGTCAGTCTAGTCTGGTTCTCACTGGACTATCTGAGATTCCCAGAGTATAAGGTGTTGAAAGAGAGATTATGGTTTGTTTGGGTTTTTTCCTTTCTTCCCCATTTATCTTTTGATTCATTACAGAGCCAGAAGGCTTTGACTGAAGCGGGCAGGACTTGTTCATAACCACAGAACAGAGCAGAACACGAATTACATATTTAAAATTTCTTAAACTGTATTTAGCTCTATTACCAGAAGTCTGCTTATTCTCAGAAAGATCAGTCATGAATATCAAGTATTGCTCAGAATCAGAAGCTGGAGAGCCACTGCTGGACTCCTGTGTTCATTGCAATGCCTCACTAAGACTTACTGAAGGACCTTGGGCACCAGGCAAACCAACGTCTCCTTTTTCTCCTTTCATGCCATTGGCTCCCTAAAAATCATTACAAAACAGCATTTATAAACAGCTTTAATCTTACTAGCAACCAATCTAGAAATGATAATATTTATTGGCAAATAATTATCATTTAAAAAAAGAAAAACATAGCACACATGTAAAGGAAATCCTTTAAAAAATTCTGGCAGTACTTTAAAAACAATTTTAAACTAATATAAACATACGCTTTTATATCGATAGCTGTCATATGTGGCATGATATTTATGACAATTCATTGTCATAAATGACAAAATGACATTGTACTATGGATACAATTTTGAAATTGTTCCTATTTTTGCTGAGAAATTTCATGTGTATGTATATAAATCTATACATACATATATATACACACAATTTAGGAGAATGCATCCCATAAATATTCATGCATTTTTTCTCTCTCCTCAATCTAAGTCACCTAAAATTTCCATTCTAATCATAGCTCCTTTCTCCTTGTCCAAGTTGTCCTATATATTACAAGAGAGGTACAACTTTGGTCAGCCTGCCAACTAATCTCTTTCTACCCGAAACAGTATTTTTGTTTCACTGTAAGTGGAATGAAAAATTCTGACAATCTTACACCTCCTCCTAGATTTGCTGTGAAACAATCTCAGAGTTTTCTCCCCAGTGCTTTCTGTCCCATTTGCAATTTATCAGCACTGTTAGAAATTCCTGATAATGGAAGAGAGAAAAAAATAATATAATTTTTGCTAAAATTAATTAATTAAGTTTTCATACTCACTGGTAGGCCAGGCAGTCCAATTCCTCCCTTTTCTCCGGGCATTCCAGGATCACCTGTGTCTCCTTTTGAGCCCTTAGGACCCTAAAATATGGACTTATTCAGCAAGTCAAGTAAAAAGCTAGACATCAACAGAATTCTAGCTTTGATCCCAACAAGGAGAGTCAAGTGCATGTTATATCTTTGCTAGCAGAATGCAGAAATGCAGGCACTATTAGGCCATGAAGTATGCAGCAGCACTATAATGATCTTTATTACTCATTATAATCCTAATACTGAGATTATGAAAACTAAGTTACAATTTGGAACCACAGAAATAATCTCTTGAAACAACCTATAGTTGCCCACATGTTCTTCACTATATGATTTACACAAAATGTACCTGCTCTCCATCAGCTCCTGCAGCTCCTGGGGATCCTGGTTCACCCTGCAAGAGATAAGACAGAACTGGATTATCCTACCTGCCCCAGACACTAGAGGAAAGAGCCAGAGAAATTCCCATAATTAACAACAACAAAGCTAGAGAATATTCTGTCAAAAGCATATATTTGTCATCTATATTAAATAAACAGCTGACCTGATTATGACTGTACACAAAGTTTGGGTGGTATAAAGGCCACACAAGTGAAAAAAGAAAAGAAAAAGAAGACAAAATCCAAGGAGTGAAAGGACCCCAATCCAATGGAAACTTTGCCTGCTACCAAGATAAATACAGACTCATGCCTCCTGATTTATGGAAGGTAGAGAGGGACTTCATGTTGTTTTTTCCTATTATAAATCACCCAGTGAAGGAGCTCACATTTACCACATTGTCTTATGACCAGTTCCTAGGTACCATGATCCAAGGGAGCAAGTTATGGTGATGGATGGAGTCAATGACATTAGAAACAAGCTCCTGTGATGTTGAATTCTGCTTTACATTGTAAATTTTGAATGAGAACGCTCACCTATAGAAAGGAACACAACCCCTCCCACACTCCAACTTCTCTGTTTTACTGCATACTCCATGTTGCAGAATTGCTGGGTAGATGATAATGCAAAAAAGCAATTTCTACACACTTAACTGTATACTCTATTATCAATTTTCACACAGAATGAACCCTGTTTCTCATAATTTCTCAAAACCATGTACATGTGTACTGTGATGTATTTCCACATGAAATACTGGATAAAGTGTAAAATTGACATGTCTGGTATTGTTATTGAAAATGCACATATTTGCTCTTGGAATAGCATAGAGACACTGGGAGAAGATGCAGTATCAAGTATTTATGAAATAGGAGAAACATCTCAAATAGTTTAAAAGCATTTAGGGAGAGTTAACTAACTTCAACACTTCTTTTTTGAGTATAGGCAAATTTATTATTTAAATTTTATAGAAGAGTGCAGCATATGGTACTCATTGTCTCTGTGTGGGCTGCTCACAAACCCTTCTGTACTACTTCTAAGCACCAGCCAGGTGGAATTGGCAGGCTTGGGTTTCCAGCCAGGCTCCTGCCCACATCTGTACACTGTAATTTTTACTGACATTAGGCAATACTGCACTTATTTGGGTGGGTGTCCCTGTGACAGAAAGCTGCATTCACATGCACTCACATGGTGGCCAGTGGTCTGGCACACAGTTTTGCCCACCTCACTCCCACTCAGCCAGAAGTGAGGCATGGGAGCCACTGTCTGGTTATGTGGCTGTTTTGCAAAGTCCTTGGGAGCAACCTCAGTGCCGATCCCTGAGTGAGATGCTTCTGCACTCTTTCAGTACTAATTAATTTTGCTGGTCCTTAGTTAATCATCTCTGTGTGGCAACCAAACAAAGCACCTATTCTGGAAAGCTACCCCCCAAGAATCTGGATATAAAGTTGGAAACATGCCATATTTGATAGATTTACAGTTAAACAACTGTGCTGGAAAGCTCCATTTACCTGTACATGTACGCCATTTAAAAAAACCCCAGAAAATACTCCACCTTTAAGATATAATGAGTAAAGTAAGGAAGATCACCTTTGGCCCTTGCAGCCCTTGGGGTCCTGGTGGTCCTGGTGGTCCCTAAGAAGAAACACACAAACCTCTCATCTTTCAAATCAACTCCTGAAGAACTTGTCATGTAAGCACAGGGTGAATGTTAATACAGCTACTGTAACAAAATGGGTTAGATTTTTAACACAAAGGGAACCAAGACTAGTTATGGACAAGTTGTTAACCTATACAGCTCTCAACAACAACAACAGTACCACAAAAAACAGTGTTAAAATAACAGTAAAACTCAAATTTTATAATAAAATCCTCTGCTCCTATTGATGAAATGGCACTGCTTCCCCTAATGGAAGGGAGACCAAAACCCAGTCATATTTGCCAGCCCTCACTGCCTGATCCAAAATAATCTGCGACCACAAGAAATCTCCAACCAGTTGTAAAGAGGATTCTGCTGGAAGATGCAAAGTGCATCTGGGGATACTCAGTGCTTTGTGAAATTGCCATGGAATAAACTGTAACCATTTCTTTAATTTCTACCTCAGGCTGTGGACACAGTGTCATGTATCAAACACTGGTCTGAATGGTGCATAGTGGGGATGCTTTAAAAATAACCCCACAACATTTAAAAATCCTCTGCATTAATACAAAGAAAGGGTATGTCCAGATGGGAAAATACAACTAACAGCAATCTTGCAGAGAAGAACTTGAAACAAAAAAGAATGTGTTTTCCCAGTCTCGTACGTAAATTAACTGAAGTTCTGCCATTAATTCAGAAGGAGCAGAATTGGTTCCATTGTTGGCTCTCAACAATGGGTCCTCTGCTATGGGAACACCAAGCAAAAAGTCAACACATGTTATGATGAACCAGGTTGACATCCAATGAAGACATGTCCTGAGCTAGCAGAATTATGAACATGCTGCAGCACAAAGAAGTTCTATGGCACACAGTAAGTCATGCAACAGTAATGAATTACCGTGACCGTCAGGGTGGCAATCCTCTGTTGGCAAAAGGTATTAACAAGAGTTGTCAGTAACAGAATTAAACAATGACATACATAATTCTGTTTCCTACAGTTATAATCTCCACAGAACCCATGCTGCATGTGGGAGACACCATGCCTTCAAAAGCACTAATAAAACCCTTGTTATTTTTAAATCATGGTGTTGTATTAGCTGCTTGGTTTCTGTGGGAATTAGATGAAGGCAGTACTTTTGTACAATGCAAGAGATCAAATAAACAATGACTAAATAGCAAAATCTAAGCAGAATGCTTCCAAAAGAAAACATACTGTGTTGGAGTCTGAAGTTGACCAAATGTTATAAACATAGCCCTATGTTTTGTAATGTCTGCAGGATTTGCACCAATGTTTAACTAACAAACATGACTTCTGGAGTGGAGCTGTAACATCAATTTTCATATAAAAATGCAGTTCAAAATCCAAAACTGCCAGTCTACAACCCAGCCATATAAACTTTTCTTATACAATTCTACTTTGAATTCTTGGAAAGACAAAAGATATTTTCATTGTGGAAGGAGGCAAAATACCTTGACCTGTCGCAGTTTTTTTTTAACCAAATAATCTAAAAGCAAGTGGAAAAGTATTAAAATGGAATTTAAATGTCTATACTTTTAAACAGAGAAGAACTCCCATATATTGCAGCTCATACATGCTTTCCTTTTGCATGTGAAGAACTTACTGGCCTACATGGAACAAGAAGTATCTTGCTTTTGTAATTATTATCCAATGTGCAAATAAAAGTTTGCAGATCTTCTGTTTTAAGCTGTAAAAAAAATCTCCACATGTCAGTGCAAAAATACGTACTGTTGGCAAAGATCTGGAGCCTACTCAATACAAAATACCTGAACAAAGTTGTTTTCTAGCACATGGCTTTAATATACTCATATTCTTTGTATTTCAGCATATTAATGGAAATATATCCAGAACTTTAAAAACACTGAAAAGTTCAGGTATGTGCATATCTAGGTATGAAAACCTAAAACAGCCATTGCAAAGAACTGTTTACACGTTCACAGTCTCGGATCCCTTTACAGTGGCTGATATTTTAATATCTAATGCTGTAGTTTCCACAAAGATTAAACGTTTGAAACTACTGCTTTTTGCCCTGGGAAATTTTGCAGAATAGGTGTGAAGAGCAATTTTGACAGAGAGATTAATTTTGCATTTGATCCTCCTGGTGAAAACCACGTACTCTCAGCAGGGGTCTTGCTCAAACCACGATGACAATTTTAAGACTGCACATGAGATTGAATAGGAGGCACAAGGCAAAGTAACTAACTTGCTAGCCTGTTTCATGATTTATTACTGAATTCTAGCAAGAGACAAGCAGTCTGTTTCTTGCAAACTCTTGCCAACTTCTTAAATCTGCAGGCCAAATTCTGTGCAAGCTCACAATTCAGTGTTGAGCTGAAGCTCTCATGTGCTATTGTGAGAGAACTGCAAATCTCAGAGCCCCTAAGAATGTGGCACCAGGAGACTTAGGAATGGGTGTTTGCCATCTGAAAGGACTGAGCTGGATTTGGCAAGGATATTTTTGACTGATCCTATATAATCTTACTTACACCCTCCTTGCACAGCCATTCCCATTAATATCAATTATTTGTTGCCCTGGATCAGAAGGTGATGACATTTGGAACGATTTGCAATGGGATAAAGGCTTTCTAGAATGTTTCAACCACTGCAGAAGGCTTGAGTCCACTTTTAAGGTTGCTTTATGTGCTGCAGCTTTTCTGAGGAAGCTTGAAACTAACACTGATGCCAGAGTGTTAGTATACAAAGACAGAATACAGGAGATACAGAGGCTAAAGCCCCTGCTAAATCTCTGGCTGGTAACACACAACATGAATTTCAGGCTACTTTAGGCACATAACTTGGAGAGGGATTTAGATGACTGAAAGTTGTGTGTCTGAAGTCCCTAACAAGCAGACCAAATGAGGCAAACATAATGCAGAGCCTCACAACATGTCTATGCAGACCTCCCCACAGACACAATGAAAGAACAGACTCAGCCTTAGTGACATACCAGGCTTTTAGATTTTAGTAAAGGCAGTGAGGTTTTTTTATTTTTTGAAAGCATCTTGGAAACCAAATGACTGGTCAGACATTTACCCACTCCCACTGCGTAAATGCAAGAAAAAAGTTCAGTGGCTTCAGTGAGAAAGTGATCAGATGCACAATGAGCCAAATCCAGTCTTCAGTTTCACATAAGCAAGCCATTCACTTTGGTGGAGTTCTACTGCACAGAATTTGCATCTGAGTATGCTGCAATGTAAATCACCTTGACTGCAATGACATATGTCATCTTGGTCCTTTGCTTTTATGCAAACACTCATTCATTCTTTTTGTAACCCCACTTTAATCCTCCACACTTTTCTGCACACCAGTCAAAATAGGTTTTCCAGAAATGAATAAGTGAGAAGACTGGTGCTTGGTCTACTTAATGTACTCAAGTTGCTGATTGAATTCACAGCTTGCTAATGGAACCATGTTACATGGTTTCCAAATCTCAAATATTCTGCTCTTTGCATTTTACAGGAAGAGGAGGAGGAAAACAAGGAAAAAAAGAAATGTCAATATTGTATGAATTGAAAAGCAGACAATTTTGTTGAAACTGTGTATCTGGTTTATTACATTAATTCAGCACTAAACACCAAAGCCAACAATGAATTAGTTTCCTCCTGATTAGGTGATGTCAGTACTCTCCAGGGAACATGAAACTCATTCACTCAGCTAATTTGTATCAGGGAAACAGTTTTTCTAGCACAGAAAACCTGGTTTCCAAATATAGAAAGTGATACCTGATTAATAAGCTCAACATTTTTGCACACAAAATGTTTTCAAGCTCTAGGCAAAAGAGAAATACAATGCTGTTAAATGACTTTTCCCCAGACCAGACAAAGCCAATTCAGCCTTATTAGGTTTGCATACCTGCAGAGCTTCATGGATATTGCCATTATAATCAATTATCTCTGTTGCACCTTGATCACCCTTCTGTCCAGGTGGTCCCTGTAATACATTTCCCATTAGAATTTTGAGACAACTGACGAAGACTATTTTAGGCTCTTAACTACTGACACATGCTTTGACTTGATTGTGGGGTGTTACAATCTAAATGTACTTGCAATATACTACTACAATACACAGAATTTGAAGGAAAACCTTTTTTTTTTAAATAAAGATAAATAAGCAAGTCAGTACAAAGTGACTTGTGCTGCAGTGGAAAAGGAAATACATTAAAACCTCTGAGGGGAGACATTTAAGGATGTTCCTACACTCTAGTTCTCTATTGGCAGTGAACCATGTCAGAACACCTGGCTTGTAACACCCTGCCCACAAAGCGTGGACTGCAGACTGCTCCAAATAGTGGCAAGTGGTGTTAAGTCATACTAATGTCCAGTTAGCTGCCATGTTCCAACAGTGTCAAGTGACCAACTTCATCTGGAGCTCTAACTAGAATTACTGCTACAATTTCAGTTCACACAGACTGAGTCTAAGGGCACAAAACAAAGAGCTGAGATGAGAAGTAGACTTACCCGTGGACCTGCAGATCCTGTGTCACCTCTCTCACCTGTATCACCCTATGTAAAAATGATACATGAAAAAAACAGATATGCCATTTGACAATACATCACATAGTTCTTCCCTTTTAAATATGTTTTCTTACATGAATGGTTTACAGGGCCTCTCATCCTAAACAGAATGTGAATCTTATTTAATGAAAGGAAAAAGTCCTTCAAAATCTGTGTACTGGTAGAATCGAGCATGACACATTTGGTTCTGTGTGAATATTAGAGTATTGCATTGGTCTGCAATAAAAAATTGCAAAGAACCAAAAGAATGGGCAGATTATTTGTGCAACATTCCTATTCTTAATGACACTACTATCAAAAGCTTGAAGAGAATACTAGAGAAATGAAATTACTCAGTCTGAAACCAGTTAAAAACTTCTTCAAATGTGTTTCAAAATATATAAACTTTTCTTTCTGTGATCATGCCTCCACCGACCTTCTGAACTTCCCTGGTCTGAGTCACTGCCTCCCCTACAAACACAACTCTACTCTCAGATTTAGAGTTTCTTGATGCCCTTTCTGTGACAGGCTGAAGATCATTACCAGCTTACACACAGCTTTTTATTCCTGGCTATTAGTAATATGCTTCAAATGATGGAGGGAATTTCAAACATGTATGCATTCATATCCCAGCAGCCACAATTCATTTCACAGTCACTTTCATAGCAAGGTCTTATATTTAAATTTTAATATTACTCAAAATTAATACGAGTAAGAACTGCAAATTTTGCTCCTGTTGACATCTAAAGAACTTTGGTAGAAGTCAGGAGAAGAATTATTAATTCACCATTGGTAACAGAACAGAAAACTTTCTGGTAATAGAAACCACAAAACTTTCATAGAGCTGATGAAGGCATATGGAGAGCAGGCTGGTGGCAGGGCATAGTCAAGGTTGTGCCATCTGCCTTTCCCTTCAGTGCTGCTTTGGCAGAAGCTAGTGAAATTGGAACTGTTAAAAAATGAAGTTCCCCACCACTAGATTGACTTCTGTGGGCCAGAATTTCATGACAGGTATACAGGTAAAATGAAAATCACATATCCTTTTTTGATAAAAAGGGAATTAAAGGGGGTATATTTATAATTTTGGTGTGTGGGGGAAGTGCCCAGGAACTGTAGTCAAATGAGAGGCGGATTTACTTTTCTGCTCTCACTCTGATACTTTAATTCCCTCATCAGTTCCCTTGCCTTCCAACAGTTCCTTCTGGTGGGAATGAATGAGGTTAAATGGCACGTGTTTAATCACATCTTTAAGCACTTAAGGCCCCTCTTAAAGGAGCTTACAAGTACTGCAAACAGTATCACACCAGCCTACATTGTCCTGTCACCCTTATTCTGACAGCAGACCTGTCAATAACCACCTACACAAGGACATTTTCATCTCTCATACGACATGAAGGAATCCAGTGGGAACAGTATTTGCACAGCAGATAAAGTAATAGAAAACCCATACATTTTATCTCTCCATATATGTGAACCAACTATATTTATAGAAAGATAAATGGATGGAAAGATATAATCAAAACCATCTTTTTAAAGCAGGTAAAGCAGCAACACAATCAACAACTCTTGCCTTTGTCAGACTTCTGACCATCATATCTCAGCCTGCAGTACTTGGAATATCTCTGATTCCTAGCTCATCAGAATTTGGATCCATAAAATTATTGCAAACCAAATAACAGCACAGTCAAGCATTGGGTCTTGGCATGTGGGAGGACTAACACACATCAGTTACACAGAGAGAAACCAAGTTGCATGAGGAAAACAGCAGCAGAGTGGAATGGATGTTATAACAGAAAAAGGATTAGAATTACAGTGTTCAAAACCCATGTGACATAACTAAACTTTTTATCTAAAATTGAAGGTCAGAAGGTTTCACTTATAAAGAACACTGCAGACTGTTACAGGTTCTTTTAAAGAGAAATGTTACAAATAATTGATCCAAAAAATGTTAATTGGTCCCCTAAAGACAGTTTCTTTACTACTAACCTTTGACCCTTTGGGGCCTCTAGATCCAGGTTCACCTGTTTTCCCCTGTTTGAAGGAAGATAGGAGAAAAATGGTAGAGAAATGGGAGTGCAGAGAAAAAGAAATTAGTAATCACTAACTACAGTTTGGAACAGCAGAAATACCCAAGATAATGATTTTTAAGGCATTTATTTTAACAGCACCCAGATCAATATATTCTTTAACACTAGAGTGCAATGGTCACAGATTCCACCCTTCCAAAGGAAAAGTAGTATTGGCATTAGTAAAGATAGGCATCATTATCACTGGTTTTCAGGAATGAGTTATGTCATTCCATTTCTCCTGAGAAATGATAGCCAAGAGATAGAGAAGATAGTTAAAAATTCTAACAGAAGGAGAATAAAATAGTGTTATCACAACATTTTTGTCTAACAGTTCAGGTGAATACGAACTAACTGGCCAAGGATCACAAAATTAACCTTATTGTTTTCAAAATCCATCAGGAAAGAAAAACTTGATAGTACCAACACCAGGGGAAATATTAAGACAATGCTAAAAGTAGTTAGACTGATCTCTTTCTTAGAGAGTTAGAAAACAGCATGCAAAATGGATTTTCTCTGCATTCAATTGCTACAGTGGTCAAAGAGTTCAAACTTCAATGCTGAAAGTTAGGGACCCAGAGGTCAGTACTTCATCTGGAATGAATTAGGCCAATTCCATGACAGTGTATGTAGGTAGTGTCTTTACTTTGCAGACCAAATAAAAGTCCATTCAGACTGCAGTTCACAGCTGTGAACACAAAACTGCCATTGTCTTCTGGACTGAAGGAGAGCATTTGACAGCATTTTCATTTAAAAGTTCACTCACCAAGTTTTGTTCTACTTTTCAGCAGGCAAAGATGTGTTCATAGGTGCAAAACTAACAAAACATTTCCAATGTAAAAATCAGACTGACCTTTGGTCCAGGGATTCCAGGTTCCCCTCGCTCACCCTTCCCAACAGGGCCTGCCTCTCCTCTGTCACCCTATTGAAACAGACACAGATATTTCACAAAATACTGGGCAGCCTTTAGCACACCACCAACTCAGCAGGATCAAAGAAACCAAGCAAACAGCAGAAACAGTGGTTTAGTCTATCTGTATTTTCAGAATCTGGTGTGTAGTATCAAAATTCTGCTTCCTGCACAAAGTTTCAAGTAATCTTCCTAAAAAAACTCATGTTTATGAAAATATAGTTTCTTCAATCATGCCTATTTTGCCTCTTGAACAACTAGATTTGGGGATTCTAACACGAAAAAAGATGACATTAATTAAAGTTATGATGTAACATCTGCCTTCACATTTTTTGAGGGCACCTACATGAATATCTATCTCATAGCACCAGTCCATGACTTTTCACATTTTCTCCAATAGTAGCCTCAGTCTCTGCTACCTGCTGAGGAAAGTTGAGTTTGACATCAGCTCCAGGGTCGTCACACCAGAGCATTGGCCCATTACCCTTACCTTTGTTCCTGGCAGCCCTGGCAACCCAGGTTCTCCTTGTGGACCAATGAAACCTGGTTCACCCTTTAAAAACACAATATGAGAGGGTTACTTATTTAGCAGTACACAAGTATAATAACACAAGTTTATTTTGGGTGGTATTTTCCCCTGTACAGCTGTGATGCAACAGTTACACAGAAGTACTTTTTGCCATGGGTTACTTTCATCAGCATAAATTCCTGCAGCAAGCCACTACACAGCAGATTAGATGCAAATGAAGCAGAAGGTGTCAAACGTGGGGTTTATGAGGTTAAGGAATGTTAATGCGCAACCTGGTCTGTAATGTAACACATCAAACTATTATCCAAGTCTGCAGGCAGGAGGAGAGAGCTGAGTGTTCCTAAATTTAAAAGGGACAGTTCATTTCAGTGATGTGTTTTGAGGTGGTTTCCTACTGCAGCATGTGAATAGATGGGCAGGAATGCCGTGTGACAAAGCAGTGACAAATGGAGATGGCGCTGTTGTGATGTGTTGTGTCTCCTTTCAAGTCAGAAACCTGCAGTACCATGGTACCTTCCCTCCTCATTCTGACAGTAAAATACTTCCGTTCTCTGTGCCCAGACAATTTCTTGGGCTGTGAACAGCTGGGAATGAGCCACAGCTCTCCTCGTTCCCTCTCTGTTCTGCCCTCCTTCCTTCCCATTCAATTGTACAAAGAGGACAGACAAATAGCAAGAATCAAGCAGAGCTGCAGCAGAAGCAGCACTGAGCAGAAGAGTAAGGCCATATTTTATTACCTATCTCCATGTCTGAAGAGAGACAATGCAAGATTAATAAGCCATATGCTTTCCTTCAAAAAATCCCCTGAATAAGCTTTCCTGCAAGTTAATCTTGCATTTTTTTCAGATATATTTGAACCAAGAAGATATATGCACAAACTCGTAAATTTTAAAATCAGTTATGTAACCCAATTGTTATTTATTTAATTAGCTTTTTTGCAATATCCCTAAACTTAATGACTAAAACTTACCCATCAAATGCCTCTTAAAATAGCTAAAAGACAGATAGATCATAATCCTGTAGTGATATCATTACTGACAATATACAGAGACAGTGCATTTGAGTAGTTGAATAGTATTTCTCTTCATCTCTTTCCCTCCTTAGAAATACAGGTATGGAGATACTGCACATGGAGAGCAAATTAGGAAGTATTCTTGCACATTCATCTGTGCTCTCATCAGCAATCCATCATTAACAGTTCAAAGCCAAAGAAATCTTCCCTGTGGTTATATCAAGGATGACAGCAAGCTCCCAGGGACCCCCATTTAGCTTATAAAAAAATACAAGTAATAATGAGCTTTCTCACATGAAGTTCCAGCTGGCTGTGATTCAAAATATGGTAAAGAAATAAACTAAGACAAACATGTCACAGAGAAGCAAGTGGGGTTTTCTTTTTTGCTCTCATAAGAAAAAAAACTTAAGAGTTTACAAGTCTTTATATTAGTACACACCAGTAAGAGTAACATAAGGTTGTCACTGCAGATGGAAGGACTTCAATTTCAGTAAATTAAGAACAATGCAGCTCCAATCATTTATTTTAGAATGAGAGGGTACTCAACAGCCCCATGTTGTTTTAATACTGAATTTGCCTGGGCTAATTTTTTGGCCAGCTCATTATGACTTCAGGCAGAAAAAATACACAGTGACTACATGATTCTTTTCAGTGGTAAGGCTTAGAAGTGTCACTCAAAGGTTGATGCAGTTTTTGAGTCAAATTCTTTTCTTTGCTCAGGATTATACCAGTTGCACACTACAAGAAAACTCCTGGCCAAAGTCCAAGAAGCAGCCCCACCTTCCCCCAAAATCTCTAAAGAGAGAAGAAAAAGATGCTTTGCAAAAGCTAGTGGAATGGATAATGGTATAAGTTGGCAGCTTAATTAGCATAAGTAGAATACAGGTCTTATATGGCACAGAGCTTTAAAATGTTTTGAAATGTGGAGTGGAAGAAGTGGTGTGTCAGCAGAGAGAAGGAACGGACAGGGTGAGCAGCAGCTCTGCTGGGAAAGATGCAGGAGTTACGGTGGATGCCAAGCTGAACATGATCCAACAGGGTATTCTTATCACACATGAAACAAACTGCAGTAGTTAAAACCTGGCTACATAAAGAAAAACATGCAATTCTCCCTCTACCCAGCGCTAGAGAGGATAAGTAGATTAAAAAACAGATCTGATTTGCCATCTGAACTAAGTTTCTAAGTAAAAAGACAACGTGTTTGAATGGTTTGAAACTAAGCCATGTCTTCTCTAATATTTCAAATCTCTTGAGTGTAACTACAGCATAAGGCATTAAGTAAAAATGTTAATTTTCATTGGGTATACTTCTGCATCCTGCCATAATATTGATGACTTTGTGCTTTATGGTATCTTTTATGCCACTCAGATAGGAAAAACCCAACCAAACAAAAAAGGAATCTATCAAAATTGGCACTACCAGTGATATGTGAAATGTAAAGAAAACAGTTTCCTCTCAGTAAGGCATGCTGGTGTCCTGGTGATGCAAAGGCAAGGGAAAGACCTTTATGATTAGTCCATGACACAAAAAGGATTCCAGAGCTGTACAGGAATGTGGTTAGAAAATTAAGACTTAAAGGCTTTAGCTTTTTTTGTAAATATATGACATATTTGATTTAGCTAGCACATAGCAGCAGGAAAGCAAGGGTAAAGGCTGGCTTGGGAGGGCCAACAACTGTGGTTTGACAACACTGCAGCTCTGGTGTTCACTGAAGCACCTCTTGCTCATAAGTCTCTTCCTTAAATGAACTCAGAATTTGTTCTAGCTGCCGTGAAAGGCTGGGAGGAATACAAGGGATCAGAGTCACCAAGACTTGTAATACTTTTCCAAACATCTCACTACCACTTCTTATAATAAAATCAAGGTTTTATCCAGTTAGAATGTACAGCAATCTTCTTTGCCTGCTAAAGCTGGGACAGGCAACACAAAATCTGTAATACAGTAATCTGAAGTACAGTTTGGCAGTTGTATAGAAAGCCATCAGCAAATGATGGCTCTGTCACACATTTTAGTTTTTAGTTTAACCCTTTGGTATAGTTATGAAATCACTGCTTAGAAACCATCACATTGCACAAGATGTCAACAAGGCATATTTCAGCATTCAAACTTCATCCACTGTTAGACTTGGAGCAATCTGTGTTAATCACAACATGGGAATCTTGGTTAAAAAAGAAAACAACAAGCTTGTGAATTTCTTCCAGTCTACAGAAGTGATGTGTTATGATATTAAGAATAATTTTTAGTGTGTTTATGTGTTAATACTTTAAGAGACTACCCCCATGCACGTTCATTTTAATTCTCAAATATTTGCTGACTGTGGAAATACTGAATGTGGTCAGATAACAAATATACTACCATTTACAAACATTGTTAATGTTCATTTTCACCTCCTGTAACAGTCCAAAGCAGAAAAGAGCCCTAAAATGCTGTAAAAACCTGGTGCAATGTGAGCAGAATCAGAATTTAATATTAAAAAGTCACCTTGTTATTTACTTCATAGGATAGTCAGATTTTTATGAGGGTTATTATCTAGACATAATTAGAACTGGTACTCATGATGATCAAAGCTTTCATGGGCTGAAGCAGAGGCTAGCTTTGATACTAGAGGTTAACTCTAAGAACCACTTTAGTTCACTCTCACTGTCAGCTTTAGGTTTTAGAGCAGTTGAAATAACATTTTCACTGCTGGTTTCTGTTTTAAACATCACTAATTTGGCAAATGTTTATTAACAGTGTAGTTCTAATACCATATTTGGTCAGAATTAGCCTCCTTTGCACAGCTGGGACACACATCACCATCACTGCTTGAAACCTTGTTCTCACAGACACACCTATTGCTCTCCCAGTGGCTGAAATACAAAGCTTTATGCTGATGCAGCAATCAGCAGAGAACAGCAGTCGTTGGGAACACTGTTTTCCCACAGAAGTTTCTTCCTCCTTTAATCACTCTCCTAATGACTATACAACACATTTTCACATCCAGACCAATGAATTCCTAAAAAAGAAACCTGCGCTGCAGGAAGACATCCAAACCACAACTTTCCTATAACAATGAAATAAATTCTCAGCCATTTCTGAAATTACCATCCCACTTGTAAGTGCCATGGTTACCTTACTATATTCCAGCTACATCAGATTATTACAGTGTTTTCTGTATGCTACAGAAATGTGACTAAACCAACCCTTAGACCATGAATTTGAAAGGAGAATGTAATTTCAAGCCTTATTCTTATCTAGTGCTATGCACTAGAACTAACTAGAGAAATTGAAATGTCTAACTCTGACCTTTATTACACTGCTCACTGGTCCTGAAAGACTTTGTTCAATGTTGGCCCTACTGCCAGCACCATGGAAGTTCTGTGCCTCATGGGCTGACTGGCAGGTCTGCCACAAGGCAGGACACACACAAATATCTCTCCCTGGCATTCTCTTGGAAATCCAAGTGTACCAAGGCCAAGGCTCCTGTGTGCACACCTCTGAGTTGGCAAACCACACCGAAGCATCCTGAATTTCTGTGGAGGACTCCAGAAAGGGGGATGCACCCCATCTTTTCCATTAACAGAAAACCTAGCGGTGTGGGATGGAGGAAAACCACAACCATGCTTGAACACATGGCTTTGGACGGGCTTGGAGATTCCAAACTTCTCTCTGCAAGTCTAGTGGACCTCCAAAATTCCTGTCAAGCATGGGCCAGCATGCCAATTCTTCAAGAGTCACAGAATTTGGGAGACCCCAAAGTTCCTTTCTGATGAGGACTGATGTGGAAGGGTCCTCATTTAATAACACCAAGAGACCGGGCATTGTCTTCAGTGTTACCCTGGCTCACTTATGAGCATATTTAAAACAAAACCAGTGTGATGCCCTTTCCTTGCCTAACACTACCAAAATAATCCTGCAAAGGTGGGGATATATAGAAGAGCTATTGAAAAAGACCCCAAACCCAGATGCAAGATAATTTGAAGCACAGCTATGAAGCTGTAATAAATTGGATTTGGTTCATGAGTACCTGTGT